TAAAGTAAGAGATGGTCTAGATGGGAGATGGTCATCAGGAAGCAACCTGACAATGGGTACTAAATTTATAAAGAAAATGGGGTTTTCTCCAGCCATTTTAAAGAAAAAGAAGAAAGAAAATTTTTACACAGTAAACCTTCATGCTTCAGAGGAGGAGGTATCTGCCAGAGGGATCCTAGACTTTTTAAAAGAACACTGACCTAGGGCCAAAGTCATAGCAGAAAAGTTGTTTTGGTTCTGATGGTCTAAGCATGTGAGAGCCAAGGTTCATAGGAAGAGATATTAATCTTTTATTAAACCAACTGATACTACTGATAAGAGAAAAAAAAAAAAAAGAGCTCAGAGAGGGTTTGTGTGTCTAAAATTCATTCTTTTTTTACCCTCCAACAATATCGTATGTTCTAATAAAAGATATTACTTCTTCCTGCAAACCTTGTCTCTCCCAAATCCAAACAATGGTCCAGAGTGGTGAGGACACAGAAGCGGGGAGCGGGGTTTTTTGTTGTTATGTTTAGCTCTGTGTTGCTAGAAATAGAAAAACATATTTTCAGAGCCCTTTGCAAATCCTGCATGTGTCTTTTTTTTTTTTTTTTTTTCTGACAAGCACGTGTCCTCTGCATGATGAACTGTGACCTGAGGTACACCCAGGACAGACCGCTGGGAAAGGATGAACCTAAATCCTCAAGAGGTTTCAAGCCCAGCCCAGGATTTGGGGCAGGATGCCAGAAGGGGAGGGCATAGGAGACCTGGACAGAGGGATGTCTTAATGGGGTTTAATGCCTACATAAATCCTTCCTCTACTCAACATGTGTCTTCACTGCTGGGTTCCCACCCATGTCAGGAAGTTATTAAGGACTGTTGACTGCAATTTAAGGCTGTATTTGCTTCCAAAGATGAAGAAATACTGCCCTTTCCCTGGGCAGCTGCCACATGATTTTGTTTTGGAATTGAATTACACATTTTGGGGGAAGAAAGGAAAATGATCTGGATTTTACTGGAGCACAGGTGAGTTCAGAGCCACAGAAGGGCTCTGGGAGCAACCAAACCCCAGACTGCTGGGTGAAAGAGCAGCTGGGGGTCTTAAGCCCAGCCCTGGTGATGCCCCCAGCTCTGGACAAACCCCCCAGCCCGTGCTGGGCAGGCACCCTGACCTGCTGCAGTCTCCATGCCACGCTCAGCTTGGCTGAGGCACAATATCCCTGACCTGCAGCATCCCACCACCTGCTGTCACAGTCCTGAGTCATACCTAAAAAAAAAAATCACCTACTCACACATTTTTTTTAAAAAGAAAACAACAAGGAAAACAAAATCTGCCCAAATCTTTTCTCTCCAATATGGATATATTCCATTCTGCCTTCCCACAGAGACCCACACCAAAGATTGCACAGCACATTACACAACATGTCACAGAAATGCTTCTTCAGCATCACCGCCTTTACTCTTCACACAGATCCTGGGCTACTTCTCCCCAGTCTCTCCACTTTCCGCTGCTTTCTAATCAGATGCTGTTTCACCTCTCCCCACCACCTCCACCTCCACAACCATCATCTCTCCATCCTGTCTTGTTGAAAGAAGGTTTAAAGGCATCAGCTGACGGGATCCCTCTGTGATGCACAAGGAAAAGGACGCATCTGTCTTCAGGCAGAACATGGAGAGCCTTGCGGAGAGGGGAAACAAGCCTCTCTGCTGCTTTTGTTACGCAAATGTTTGTTTTCTGTATCCAAATGTGTAACAGGAAATTAAGCAGTTCACCTTTGTTAAAGCACTTTTGCATCCCATAAATGCAGGAGCCAGATGGTGTTCTTTCTTTGTTTTAAAAGATTAAAAATGGGAAAGAAAGGAAATGGCTAGGAGCTAATCCTCAGCCTGGAACACACTCACATATCCATATGCCCAGTTAGCCATGCTCGTGGGGCCTGGGCAGGACCAAACACGGGGACTCAGCGGACTGAAGTGAGTCTGCTTGCAGAGAGCTCCAGAATTGTCACTGTGTGTCAGCTTTAAGGTGGAATCCTTCACTGTATTCCCAGAAAATGACAGGATTCTTCCCGGACTGCGGCTTGGACACACCAAGCAATATTTTCTAGAAACCACCTGAAGCAGAACCTTGCTCCAGGTCCTACTGGTGGAAATGGCAGGCTGTCAACAGGGGGGAGCTGCTGTACACAAACACAGGATCAGACTTGGGAATATCACCAGGCAGATTATAGATGTGACCAGGGACAGCACCAAACAGTTTCAAAGTTCAACTCTTCAGCCACATCTCCACCTTCCACAGGTGAGACCCAGAAGCAGTTTGGTTCTCGCACTTGAGCTTATTTGCCCTCTTACCAGAGTTAAAGTCAAGTCTAATACAATCAATTCGCATGAGCCCCACGTGGCTTCATTAGTGTCACAACCAGCCTTCTGTTCAAAAGGGTGACTACTTTCGTTTATAGGGAACTTAGATGTGCAGGTTGCCATATAGAAACCGCATAGATTTCCCAGTCCAGAGACAGCAAGGCGCACACCAGTTCTTGCAGAAAATGAATGCAGTGGTGCTGTGCAAAGGCAGAGGGAGAGGACAGGTACGAGATACTGGTGGATGGGGAAGGACAGAGACTGTCACATAACCGTGAGTGCACCAGAAGGGTGAATAATGAGATCAGCTCCATGTGCTCTCCCAGTAAACATGTCCCACAAGGTAGTGATGAGCGGAGATTGAGAAATGAACCTATATGGGTTCTTCTCTTATGCTGGGGGTAGCGTGGCTGGGCTGTGGCTGGAGGAAGGATGAAGGACACTTGGCTCCTGGAGTTCTGCTCTTTGCTCTATGGCCTGGGTGGGCTTCCCAGCTCTGCCACTGAATCCTGCTTTGGCCTTGGGCAAGTCATGTAAACCCTCTGCTCCTCTCGCCACCAATGTAAATATTGGCAATCAAAACCTTAATTTGCTAGGACCCCTCTTTGGACTGTAATAGGAAGAGGTCTCCATGCATGCAGAGCATGGACTTACTGATTAGGAGTTTTAAAAGTACCAAAAGTCTGTGAAAACAGAGAAAGGAAAATCAACTAAGAACAAAAGGCTGTGCTAGTCTGAAGCTCAGCTCTTGCTCTGGTAAACAGGTGATAACTAGTGAATGCTTTGGTCATGCATGGCAATTTGTGTTAGCAGAGAAAAGTCCTCTAGAAAAGCCTTACGACACTGCACAAGATAGCATGGAGCAATCCTCAGCAAAGCATTTTGCACAGACAGGATGAGGTCTACAGGACACCACCACAGAGAAGACAAAAAATCCCACAAAAGTGAAGTGGCCTATAGAGATCTTCTCAATTCTCACTTTCTGGAGGCCCTCCCAGCCTTTGCATGGCAATAGCAGCAAATTCCATTGCAGAAAGAGCTCCTGGTGCTGCAGGAGCACAGGCTTGGCTGGGACTGTCTCAGGTGGTGTGACACTGACTGTGGGTGAGGTAGGTCTAACATGGCTGAAGAAAATGATCCAGGCAAGAACATGGGTATTCACACAGGCTGCTTCTCCTCCTCCCCTGTGTCTTCTCTTCCCTACTTGCTACTTCCTGTAGTTCCTGCAGCGATGGGACTGTAACCACCTCTATTCCTTCATCACTGCCCAGTAACTCCATTGAGACCTTTTCCCAACGGACTTTTGTGCTCCACAGTGATGATTGATTCCCTCACTGGTAATTAAACTTAGTGATAAGCCAATGTCCTGGGCTGAGAGAGGTGATATGTCTCAGCAGAAATGTGATCACATTTTTCCTCCTCCCCAACACAGTAACTCCACTTGGCAACTGCCTATCACATAAAGAAAACCTTCTGAATCAGATCAAGACCATAGGTCAACCCTTTCTTGGGTAGCTGATAGAAATCATCCTCAAAGCCAAACATCCATGTTGTAACCAGAAATAAACCAGCCTTAGTCCAAGCATCAAGCTATAAACCACGGCTCCTTAGCCTGAAAAGCCCTCCCCCGCTGCTGGATGGCCCAGTGTGCTTCAAACTCTGCACATCACAGCTGCTCCTGTAGCTGAGGAAGGGTGAGAAACACGATGTCCCCCCAGGGAGGCTGCCATCCCAGGCAGACAGGGCAGTGCAGACAGGTACAAAGGGACTGTGCAAGACAAGGGGACAGTGCGAGCACAAATCACAGAAGAAAAGGCTGGAAAAGCATTCCTGACTCATTGAGTCCGTCCCCAGAGAAAAGTGCAGAATTAGCCTCTGCACTAAACCCAGGCATTTTTATCTAGTTGCTTCCTGAACTTCTTTAATGGCAGGCCCTCAGCAATCTACCTCTGGCAAATTATTCCATCGTCTAAAAGATGACCCTGCTGGAAAAAAAGTGTTTTGAGGTCGAACCTAAATTGGCTATTATTTCCTCTTCCATATTTTATGTGCTTATCAGTCAGTTTTTCAGTTGTGTTTTCTCAAGGTCCCTGTATTAAGTTTCTTTAATCTAACACCAGAGGTCACAGCCTATAGTCTTTGTCATCTCTTTGGATTACCTTTAACTTATCAATGTCTTCAAATAAGAGGGAGAAAAAATAGGAAGGAAGGAAGAAGGTTGTGGAGGCCCCATCCCTGGAAGTGTTTAAGGCCAGGTTGGATGAGGCTTTGGGCAACATGGTCTAGTGGAGGGTGTCCCTGCCCATGGCAGGGGGGTTGGAACTAGATGATCTTTGAGGTCCCTTCCAACTCAAACCATTCTATGATTCTGTGAAGAATGGGATGACTTCAGAGCCATCACAAAACATGTGACACTGTGCTGGGGTATCAGAGAGAGGTCTGTGTGTAGGCATCTGCATGGATGTCTGAACTACGAGCATGCCCAGGACTGAAAAGGAGTGAGGACAGTGGTTCAGGGGTGCCTGATCAACATCTGTGCACATGTTTCAGTGAGGGAATAACAAAGGAAGTGAGCTCAAGAGCTCCAAAACCTGATTTATTGTAACATTTCCTAGTCTCCCTTTGCTCTGAGCATCAGACTGCTGCTGGAGCTGCCTTACCCTGTAGTAATCAGTGCTGTAGACATCTCTTGACATCCCAAAGTCTCCAATCTTCACCAGCAGGTTGGCTCCGACCAAGCAGTTCCTGGTGGCCAGGTCTCTATGGACAAAGTGCTGGGAGGCAAGGTACACCATTCCAGAGGCGATCTGGCTAGCGATGTGGAGCATCTGGGATAGCCCTAGCTCCCCTTTGGCTTGTCGAGGCTGCCCATCCACGAGGATCATAGCATCTGGGCCATGTGCCCTATAGGGAGGAAGAAGCAAAAAGCATAGAGTTTGGTCTCAAAAGTGACCAGGAGATAGGAATCCCACACGGTCGCTGTTCCTGCTGGGGTGGAGACTAGCCCCCAACTCTGCACTGTGAGGATGTACACACAGCTCCAGTGGAAAGAAAAAAAGAAAAGTTTAAGAGAACAGGAGGTTGGGGGAACATTTGGTGGGTGAGTGGGTGCCATGCATCCTTCTCCTGTCCTTACTCTTCTGCAAGCAGCATCTTATGGCCACAGATGGAGATAGACTGCCAGGACAGAGGGACCATTGGCTTGATGCAACATGGACATTTTCCTCTGGCAAGACCTATGCAAAACTGACAAGCCTCCAGATATTTACATGTTTGCTCCAGTTAATTCCTATACCTTGGAAACCTTCCCAGAGGTTTCTCCTTTTCTTCCACAGCCATCATATTCTTGCTACCTACTCTCTTTAATAATCCCAAACAGCCTCCTCTATTTCCTCCAAACACCATATCACCAAAACACCTCCCCTTGATCGATACCAATACAGCAAGAGATCACAGAAAAGGTTTCAGAAGAACACCAGCAGCTTCATCCCTGGAAAATACCTTTTATACACTAAGCTATCCCAGAGGTAACACAGGTACTGTGAGCTGTGAAGGCACGAGCAGAGGTGCAAAGGTTAGACCTGGATGTCAGCAGATGCAGAGAACATCCTGGGCAATAAAAGGAAATATTTTGCTGAAGCAAGTGCATTGTAAATGCAGGACTTAAGGTCAGTCTCACTCCTGTCCTGTCCCCTTTTTAGTCCCCTCCCTTGCTGTGTACCAAGCCTGTCTTTGCTGTGCTCCCTCTGTGATGTCTCTTCCCCTGGTAGAGCTCACCCTCTGGTAGCCTGTGTGAAGGTGGAATAACAAAAGCCCTCATATTTAGGGAAAAGCAAGAAACTTCGCTATGACCTTCTTCCTTGTGACTAAGATACAGTACAGCATTTCCTCCGAGGCTTTCATACTGTTCTCTTTGAAATGATTCTTGGAATTTCACCCCTGTCATCAGCAGTAACCCCACGGAGAGCTAGCAAATTGAAATTGCACGTACAGAGCTTTCCCTCCTTCTTTACATGGGACTGAACAACCCACAACAAGATCCAAACTGTTTCCCTCCTTTGTCTCTGTTCCCTAATTGCTCTGTTGGGCTTGAGGGTGCATCAAGGGATTAGCATCCAGGCTACTTTTTCAAATGCCCCTCTCTTCAGCTACCTCCTGCTGCCCTACCACTAGCAATATGGCTCTGAAAGTCCCCTCCTGGTAGGAAGGACAGCTAGCAGAAGAGAGAAACTCCAGAAATGAATGCAGGGACCCATGAGTGGGTGATGCTACAGTGAATGTGGGATGAGTTGGCTGGGAGCAGCACTGCCGGAGGCATCTTGGAGGCTCATGGGCAGGGTGGGAGCAGCAGCACATTGGAAGAACTGCTGAGGGCAAGGAGGAGCTGCAGAATGACTGCTTGATGTCTTATTTAAACAGCCCACAGATGGGTTTACCCCAGGACATTACCTGGTGGTGACAACAGATGTCGACAGCAGGTGAAGCTGAGCCAGGACTGAGCAGGTTAGCTAAAAACAGCAAAGCAGGACAAACAATAGCTTCTAAAACTGTGCTGGACAGTTTGTACCAGTCATGCCTTGCAGTTACAGCATATTTCGCTGCAGCTGATACCTGTTGTCATCAAAGGTAAACATTCCTAGGTGAGATGTGAAGGATATATTACTATCTCATTACTGCCACCTTTTTCAAATACAATAATGGCCCCCAAAGGAATGTCTGTGTCTGAAGGGAACAGGTAATGTTTAAAAAAAATGGTTGGCCAACACCTTTATACCACTGGCTTTTTGTACATCCTACTATATAGGACACATCTCAGTATGTCCTATATAGTACATACACTTCCCTCCCTCCCTTTCTCCATCCCTCATGGTTGTAGTCCAGAAGAAAGAAGTATCAACTCATTTATGAGATTACAGGAAGGACATTAGTACATTTAGTTGTGTCAAGAAGCCTGCAGGGAATATGAGATGGATCTGCCCATCTTTTCTTGGGGAAAGGGGTTTAATTCAGATTTACAGAGAGGCCATAAAATTGGATGGAGCCCCTGCTAAAGAACTGCTAGTTTGGGTTTGTTTGTGTTTTTTTTTTCCATTATGGAGTGGTGGAGGCTTTTGCCAACATGAGGAAGAAAATTACCCCTCTGGCTTCCTCTGCTGAAATTCCTCTTACTATAGACTGCGAAAAGGGTCTGTAACGGCAACGCGCAAATATCCCGACTGCAAATTTGCTGCTGTCATGGACAGGAAACAGAGGTTAGAAAAACCAGTGACAGAAGGAAAGGGAGGAAGCGATGGAGGTGGTTGGTGAGCAGAGAGGGAAGGCAGTTGCTGCAGACCCCCGAGCAGCAGGTCTGGGGTGGGGGGAGCACCCACCCTGGCCACGCACCCAACCTGCGGGCAGTCTCCAGCCCCTGTGTGCACCGGCCCGAGGGACACTGTGCTCCCTGGAAGGCAATGTCCATATTTCTCCATGGCAGGATCTTTTCACTATCCCTTTTCTATTAGCCAGGACACCACGATTGGAGTCTCCCCCGGCGTGGACAGCAGGGTAAGATGTTGCACCACCAGCAATGGTCTCGTGCAGGAGCCCTGCTGTGTATAGAGCCATCCCAGTACGTGCCACCTCAAGCCCAGCTGGTGAGTGTTGATCCTAGTGCTTCCCCCTGCCACACCAGTTAATTTTACAGACCAGTAAAATTCTCTCTCTTTTCTTGGAAGCCAACAAACGTCTAACAACACTTAGGGGAATTAATTTATTGTGCTTTTCTCTAGGAAACGGAGTCTAAAATGAGCATCTTCCATTTTACTGCTTTTCTGATTTCTGCAGTTAAACTGGGAAAAGTCCATCTGAGTGTCTCTCACAGACCCCCAGCACCCCTGGCCTCCAGTGCCTGGAACTGCCTCCTGCTGTGGGCCAGGTGAATCATGCCACAGTAAAAACCTGCTACTCACCAGGGATGCCAGGCACTCCTGCACCACCAACCTTCTCTGACCCCCTTGCAGCCCCCATCCCTCACATCGCCGCTGCGAGGACAGCAGATAGCTGACCTGACAAAGCCCAAGACCCTCTTTCCATATGCCCCCTTAGGCGTTTTGCTGGGTATAAGCTCCCTTGTCTCATAAGCCAACTTCCTTTGGGACACAAAGGGATTTTGCTGCCTATCACACCCCAACACGCAGAGAAGGGAGCTCGTAGCTGCTTGCTCCATAGCTGCATGAGAAGGAAAAGCTGGCAGCTAAATGTAGCTGGAAGATGTGAGGCTGCAATCCCAGGGACCACACATCTGGAAAGTTACTTTTCCTTCATAAAGGCCAAAGATAATATAACAACGAGCTTTCTTCTCCAGTGACACCGGGACAGGCCCTGGCCTCCCAGGGCATGAGTGTTTCTCAGACATGTCCTAGGGCAGGGTTGGGATGTGGGGGTGAGGGGGTGCATGGCTTCAGCGTGATGTCAGCCTTAGGACCACACTGATGGTCCTAAGCAATTACACAGGGCATTGGCAGTGGGCATGAGACATCCCTCTGAGACAGCAGGAGAGCCTGGTTTGGACTATACTGTTTGAGAGGTCAATTAGAGCAGAGAGGGAGGCTATGCTTCAGCTGTAACGTCTACCTCCTTTAAGGAGAATAAGGTTACTTGTTCTGTCAGGAAAAAAGATGGGTCAATTTTCTGCTCTTCCTTGTGAAGAGCAGAAACAAAAACACTGTCTCTCACGCTCCTTTTTTAGACTGCCTTCCTCCAGTCATGAGGCTGAGGCACTGTCCTTAACATTGGATCTCCAATCTGTGCTAAAACACCATTTCAGCCCAAGACACGGTTTCATACTGGTAGATAGAGTTCAATCCGCTGCTGCTGGGAGGTTACTGGGCCCCTGCGAGACAGGGTACCACAAGAGAGGTCCCAAGGTAACCAAGGCTGCTCCCCCTTGAACATGAGTCTGAGGAGTTCTGCAAAGCTAGTGAAGGCATCAGCCTTCACTCGTCCTACCTTGTCAAGGATGCCATCTATCCAGAGCCTGAGACAGGGACTGAGCTATAAAATCATATTCAGTCTACCCACAACTATGCCAAAATGAGGAGGAAGAAATCTTTGGGGTCCTTCCCTCTTCTGGTGTAGGTGTTTGCTTAGAAATGAAAACCTCAGGGAAGGACCTGTGTTTCCCGGTCAGAAACTGACTGTAATGGTGGAAAAATAATCACAGAGCGTATCCCAACCCCAGATCTAGACCTGCTGTGCTCAAGCTTCTTGTTCCCGCTGCAATCATGTTCACACTTAGCAGTCAAAACAGGAAAATATCAAGGGTCCAATTTTCTAAATACTGGGAAATAAAACTACTAATTATTTCAAGAGGTAAGTACCACTCCACTTGCACACAGGTTTCAGAGCATAATTTCTGTATCATGGGAGAACAGCACCACAAACATCCTCCCACAGTTGCTCCCTGCCCCTTACTGCTGGCGGATTCTGGGCACACAAATGATCTGCCTCACGCTGATGAAATGGTTGAATGATGACTTGGGGGGGGCTCCAGCAATTTGCATCTCTAGAGGCAGGGAAGGCAATTACGGCACTTCGTCAAGCCTTACCTAGCTTCTTGAGTAGTGTGGTGCCACAGGTTAGGATATTTTGTACCTCAGTCAGCATCTCTGTCTGATGAGGCTTAGGGGACAAGGACCAGGGAGGGACTCCATGGGCACTGCCTGAGGCCCCTCCAACATTTTTCAGCTCTTTTCCAAATGTAGGAGTGAGAACTAGAGATCAGTAAATGCCCAGGATACCAATCAGACCAAGGATTCCAGCAAGTTTCTCAAGGGAATATTTTGGTCCTGGGTGACATGGGGACTGATGGCTTCCTGCTTCAGCAGGTCATGGCTTTGCAGGGTGGATTGGACTTTGAGCTGCTGACAGACAGCCATGGCTTCACATCCTGCTACCCCCACAGTGCAGAGAGGGATTGGAGCCATGCTTCCTGCAGCTTCAAACTTGCTGGGATGGGAGAAGAAAAGCCTGGTTTCCATAGCTCACAGGGATCCCCTCCCAGGACTACCTAAGAGGAAGTGTTGGGGTAGGGCTATAAAGTACCAAATCTGGTGAGAACCATCATCTCCTACAAGCTGTCCTTGGAACAACCAGCCCTCATTACCCGGCCCACCAGCATCCACATGGCAGCAGTGTCACTGGCACACCACGATCTATAACAAGCCACACTAAGGCTGTGGAGCAGCTGTACAGCATCTCCCATTCCCTGCTTCCCACGTACCTCAGGAACTTGTTCAGGTCCCCGTGCTTCATGTACTCAAAGACCATGATGAGCGGGTCACCGTCACCACACACGCCGTAAAACTTGACGATGTGCTCATGTTGTAGGTTGGTGAGCAGCTCTGCCTCCCTCTGGAAATCCTTACGGGCTGCCAAGGTGGGGTCTTTCAGCGCCTGAAAGAAGGGGCAGAGATACCCACAGGGTGGGCTCAGGTGGGGGCAAAGCCAGAACAAACAGGTCACAGCATTGTGGAGGAGCTGATGAGGAAGGGAGGGGAGCAGAACCACTGCTGCCAGCTGGTGGTGGGTGCCAGTGGCACCACCTTGGCGTTTTGTTCATGTAGTTACTGGCCCAGCAGGTTACCCAACTCATTTCCCAGGCAGCAGCAAACACGCCTCAGAGGGTAATAGCTTCCCATTATCCCCAGCTTGGGCAGGATTTGTACTGGTGACCTAGGGGTGAATGGCTTCATATCTCATTATTATTAAATTCCTGAGCCAGCCAGTCCTTGCTATCTGTCTTTTATTTTGAAATAGCTGACTACACTGCCTTTATTCAGAAGATGGATTTGCCTGGCTGTGCAGTTATTGTGTGGATTTTTCAAACTGCCTCTGAAGAAGGACACTGTCAAGTCTTTTCTCATAATTTTTAAAATCATGTTTTTATTCCCTGCTGTTTATAACAGCTCCCTTGGCAGACTGGTGCTGAAATCGGTATCCTTATTGAGAATATGTCATCTTCCACATTGCCATGGCAGGGTAGCTTGCAGGCTCCAGGCTGTGTGTACCAGCCTGACATTGCAGGGTTGCTCTGAAGATGTTGCTATGGGGGCAGGCAATGATCGGGTAGGGCTCCCCAAAGTTGGAGGCCACTTCTTCGTGCATTATCATGCAGTTGCATCTGAGAACTAGTGTGAAAGCAGCATGCTGTCATCCCAGGGTATCAAGGGAGGGATCTTCCATGAGCACTTAGTAAAAAGGTTGAACTCCAGAACGTTTGTGAAGATGGGATGGCCAGGAGAATCGACACAGTCTTTGCAAACATTTAACGAAATGAAGAGGCAATACTAGTTTTGAGTTGCTGGGTCTCAGTTATATTCCCCTTATCTTCCATGTGTAAGGACTGTTTAGCACCAGTTCTGGCTTTAACTGTGCAGCCTAACAGGAGTCAAAAAGGATTCCAGGCAGCTTGTTCCAGTTATCCCCAGATTCAAACTGATGTGCACCGGTGGTGGGGGACACTAGGTAGCTCTCCCCTAACCTATGTACAAATATACCTGTCCCCTTTTCCTCATGCCTGGAATGTCCCCATCCTGATAGGAGAGGTGGCATCAGCAGATGCAGGCTCCAATTTATGTGCAAAAAGGGATGTTAAGCATCAGAAAGCCGTGCATAGAGGAAGAGGCCAAGCACACTGCTAATGCTCCTCCGCCTGCTCCGTGGCACTGCTGGGCGCAATGCTGGGCACAGTGAGGTAGCGAGTCCTCCAGAGCAACTGCTTTTCCCCTTGGAGAAGATCTGCTGTGAGGTTTTTACCCAAGCCTTAGGACACTCTCCTTCTTCTGCCCCCAAACTGCTAGTCACGTGGTATAATTTTATTTTAATTCTATGTCCTCTGGGATAGCTTGACTAGAGATATTTAGATGGATGTTAGTCACACGGTGCAGATGGCAAAGCATCCATCCTTATCTGAGGCACACAATTACTTTTAGTCATTTAATATCTTCATAATGTTGATGCTACCCTTTTTTTTTTCCCCAGGAAAACAGTCCCCTCCCCCTTCACTCTTTTCTCCTCCTTTTTCCTGTGATATTTCAAGCTGCAGTGAGTTTAGGTTTCCTCTCCTTCACACACAATCATTTCTACAAGTGTTAGGACTGGAATTTTGTAAATATCACACCCCCCCCCCCAAAAAAAAAAAAAAAAAAATTAAAAATCCCACATTACTAAGGTTGCACAGCCAAGCATTTAGGGAAACAGGAGCTGGAAGTGGTAGAACAGGGAAAGAAGCCCAGGACCAGAGGAAGAGAAGGGATGTCTCAGCAAAACCAGTGAAATGCCTCTCCTAGGAAGGCTTGGGGTGGATTGTATTTGTGCCTCCATCACACGATTCCTGCGTGACATCTGGCAAGTCACTCAGCGTCTGCAGGTTGCAGCCATCGTCACGAAGTGTCAGGTGTTCCAATATTACCTGGGAAATCCCCTCTCACGCGGCATCATGGCCAGGTCTGCACAAATGCTGCGCGTTTAATGCTGCAGCAGGGGTCAATGTGGGTCTGGAACCTGCTGTTCTCGGGGCTGGAAAGGCAGGTCAGTAACTCCATCCTCCGCTTAAGTGGATCCTTTCAGCTCAGTTTCCCTGCTTCTCCATCTGCCCTCTGCAAAATGGGGATGATACAACCCCAGCACCTCGCTGGGAGGCTGTGAAAATGAGCGCACTCGCTTGTAGGGAGCTCTCAGGCACAGGAGTGATCATCACAATGAAGCAGTCCATAGAGAAATGAAAAATACGTGTTCGGAGGACATGCCCTGAATACCAGCCCCTCCAGCACTTCTAGTACTTGACTTTGTAACCTGAACACTCTTTGCTGAATAGACTTTTTGTGCATTTCTTAGGATGTTTTTAGAAGCAAGCTGCATAAAACAGGAAGCTTGTCCATGCCATCACATCAAAACTCAGCTTATCCGCAGGGCTGCAACCTTTAGATCCACTCAAAATCTATGTCCATTTAACCGAGTGAGTAACACAGCCACTCTCTGTGGCCCTGGGAGCGAGTCCCTGAGAGCAGAGCAGAGGCAGACTCTGGGCTGGGGACTGAGCTGCCCTCACCAGTGTGTCCTGCTGCTGCCCCAAGCTGCAGTGACCAGGGAGGTAGTTCTCAGCCTCTGTCGGGAGCATGAGGAACTGCAGTCAGATCTCAACTTAATATGTAAAGCCATTTTTTTCTTTCCTTTTTTTTTTTTTTTCCCCTCCCCTAAGACTTATAATGTGGCCCAAATTAGAAGGATTTTTTCCCTGCCCCCCCCTTGAGCTGGCAAGAAGCCAGATTTCAAGGCCCTGCTCCAAAGCTGGATCTGTATGATCTTGCAGGATGAAAGGCACTCTGGAGATGTAAGCTCATAGTAGCAATTAGCAGAAACAAGTTCGGATGCTGTTTCTGCCTACGTGCAAATGAAAGTCAGTAGACACTTGAGAGACAGGATCGCATAAGGGATGGCTGACACTGATAGGCAGGTTCCAGCCACATAATCAGGCAATTAATCATATGGGTAGCTGTGCTACCTCAGCTTTAACCTGTCTCAGAGGTGAAAGGTGCAGTCTTGCAGTTCATAGTCAGAGCATAAGAGGACAAAAAAAAAGGCTTGAACTGCCAATGATTAAAACAACTCTGAAGTAACTGGGTGCCTCCAGCATCCTGGAGAGAGTGCTGGAACCTTTTTTCCTGTAGAGCATCAGTTCAAATGCAGATCTTCTTCCAAGGAGTTAGGAGGCATCAATTAACTCCCAGGGATTAGACCATGTGTGTCTGCCAACTGGTACCACTTGAGAGGAGAGCACATTTCTGCACTGAGTAGTCTCCTCTGCCCAGAGCCACGCTGATGGGGTACAGCTCACACGAGGACCCTCACAAGGATGCAAACAGCACAGCACAAGCCAAGCTGAACTTGCATTGGCTCAAAATCACCAAAACAGGAGGAATCGTGGCTAGACAAGCAGGAGCTGAGTGGAGTCGAGCTGGGTTGCTTTGCCTATCTTGCAGCAAATTGATCCCAGCAAATTGGTTAGTTGTGCTTAGCTTTTAAGCGCTCATTTTTGCTGAGGTCTTTTTTTGCTTCAGCTTCTGCCTGTTCCACAGAGAGATAAAATCCAGATAAAGAAGAGCCCAGGTCCCTCGCGGAAGGAAGGTGGGCTCCACGCTGCACTGCTGCAGCTGCACAGGAGCTTACAGCATCCAGACCAGCTTCGCCTCCTCATCTGTGTCCTGGCCACATCGGCAGGAAGAGGGGCTTTGGCATTGGCAAGAATAGACGACCTTGAAGCGAAACACTGAACCTTTGTGTGACTAAGTGGATTTACCACAATCTCCAGCATCAGATAAATCTCCCCCCAGGCCCCCAGCCCTCCCCTGCTTCCCTTTCCCACGCAGGCTCATCCAGCCTCGCTTCGCCGGCCAGTCCCAGCCCTACTCTCTGCCAGTCGCCCTTGGGATTTACCTTCACTGCCACCAGCATTTTGTCGTTGGTGGGGCTGAGGTTGTAACACTCGGCCAAGAACACCTTCCCAAAGGCACCTTCTCCCAGCTCCCTCTTCAAAACGATGTCTCTCCTCTTAATATGCTGGACATCTGTTGGAGGGAGGGGAGGAAGAGGGAGAGGGTTGAGGGAAGAATGAATTAGGGTTAATTCAGGGAATGGAAAACAACTAATTCAATTTTCTAGCAAGCTGCAAAGGATCTGAAATTGCTTTGCAAAAATATCTACAGGGATCTTTTTACCCACCCACAGAACGCAGTCATCTCTGGGATGGAGCTAGTCTCATGCAAAACATCTGCAAGGAAAGTACTTGAGGTTTATCACGTTTTTACTACAAGCTCGGGGCAAGTTTGTCCTCCGGGAGAGGAACCTTTGGGGCAAAATCTGCTACAAAGACCTGAATCTCTTTGGAATGATCCTGGAAATAATTCATCTCCTGCGAGGCATAGCAAAGGTCACATACCTCTGATGCCAGGCCAGGCGAGATGAGAAGGTTCTGTTGAATATTGCGTTTCAATTTGAATCAGCTTAAACCCAAAATCAGGCAGATTTTTGAGGCTGAGCCTTGGCAAGTCAAAGCATTCCTAAAGGGGGGAGGACCACTGACCCTCATGCACCTTCAGGCACTAGCAGGAGCTGGTCGGAAATGCCAAGTGCCGCCTCGTAGCAAAACTCTGACCCTGCAGCCATCTCCTGCGTGACTGTTCCCTCAGAAACAAAGTCATCCCAGGATAAAGTCACCGGCACAACAGACAAACTCAACCCATTAGTTTCAATGATCCTTTCCACTGACATTTAGGATGGTGAGGACTGACAGAGAATAGCAACCGAGGTTTCAGGAAGAATCAAAAGAGCAATAGCTACTAATTTAACAAAGGTACAGAGGACTATGAAGGTTGGTCTGCTCAACTAACAGGGTCAATCATAAGCACTAGATCTACCCAGGCACTAGGCACCTAGAAGGGTAGATATGCGACTAGCAGGATCTCCACATATGCTGGGTCATGATTAAATGTCACAGGTTGCTGGAAGAGCTTGGGGGTCTCCATACGCTCTTTTGAGCATGACACTAGGACACAGCTACTTTCTGCCAAAGCTCTAAGCAACTTTCTGGCATCACAGTGCCCATACAGCTCCTCTGGCAATACAAAGAAGAGCATTGTCTGGAGGCACAGTACCCAAAACTTCATCTCTCTAAACTGCCTTTCGCTGGAACTTGCTGCCTCCCTTTGAGAACTGTGGCACCACAGACCACCTCCAGCTTCAGCCTGATGGTCATGGCAGGGCAGTGAGAGCTATACACTCTTCTCCAGTGCTTGGTGAGCAAGAGCTGATGCACTAGAGATCTCCTCAAGCAGAGGCATTAGATGGAACAGTGCTCTCTTTCCATTCCTACCCAGGGGCATTCATAACTTGACCCTGCATCTGTTTGCTCACAAACTGGACAGCTTTTGAGTTTTTTCCATCTCTTCCATGTGCCACAGGAGCTGTACAGGTATGCACCTCTTAGCTCAGATGCATTTCCCTTGCAGCACTGCAGATGCAGGAGGTGGAGGTGACTAACACCAGCTTTCAAACTGCCTGCAGGGAAGCATCATAATTTCCACCAGCTCCTACCACCCAGGCTCCCAAGTAGGCACCTGCATCCACCCAAGGGAGCATATGCTCCACAACAACATAGGTTCCACTTCATGCATCAGAAACCCAATGGATTGGAATACTAACATCCTAATGTCTTTCATACAATTAAGCTTTTAAATTAGGAGCTCACAGGCAGGCTTAAGGAGCTGCCATCTCTGGCCCTTTTGCTTGTTTGGGAAGATGGATGCTGTGAGATTGCATAAGCAATGGACCTTGTAATGAACGATGCCTCTATAGAGAATTCCTGTTGACCTTTTCATTAATCGTTCAATAGACTGAAAACTGTTAGTTACCAATATTAATAATATTAGTAACATTAAGGCACAGGATGGTAGGCACAACCAAAATGACTTCAGTTTTAAATCTGCAGTGACAGCCAGGGAGAACAAATCACATGTGGACTTTGCCTTCTCCACCTGGTTTAGTTGAGTGTTTAAAGAGTACCTTGAGAAATCTGAAATATTATGTGTTGAAATGTTAAGTGATGCACTTGGGTGAGGAAAGTCCTAATCTAAGAAAAGCTCAAATAGCACCATTTTACTTAATAGAGTAGAGGAAAAAGGTTTTTTTTCTTCTTTCTCTTGGCAAGCATTTCTATAGCACTCATCACTACAGTACCTAGGATTTACTGTATTGACAAACCATGTATTTGCATTCTTGGTCTCCTGAATAGCAGCAGTCAAGAAAGCTGCAGGGAAATGATCTTGTATTAAGAGGAGCCCAAGGACACTTTAAAAACCTCAGAATCCCAACAGAAATGTAGCAATTGCAATCCGATTGCCCCATTTGGTGTCAGATAAAGTTAAAAAGAAAACTGTCTCAGAATAATCAGCAATACTATTTGAGGTTATTTACACTTCTGATGAATAAGTGGTAACACCATGAGAACTGAAGCAAACCTCTCATTCTGAACTCCCCAGGGTCTTGCCCAAAATTTTCAGCTCCCAATTTTTCCTCCCAACAACATCTTAATAAATGATCAGACAGTTCTGAAAGCCAGCATCCAGACTGTGTAATTATGTCTATATTATTAAAATAATATCCCATCTGTCTTCAAGACCAGATTTTGCAGCAAGTTGTTAGGGTCACCTGAGAAGCTTCAGGGAAAATTTATATGAAGAATTAAAGGAGATATTGTGGCAGACAGAGTTGAACTGAGGGAGGAGCAATCTTTTTGAGGTAGTGCACTCACGTAGCACTGCTGGATTTAAAGTAAACTTTAACTTGGATGGTTATATAAAAAAAAAGGGTTCATGAAGTGAAGCAGTTTGACAGCAACTGGACAATCTTAATGTAGAGTTAGAAAAGTACTTTTGCTGATCACAATTTCTCTCAACCTCAAATGGCCATAAATTTTGCTTCACAGTATTTTAGGCACAAATGGAATAATAAGTGAGTTATAATAAATTGCTTTTTCACATGCTATAGGCTTAAAATACTGAAGTTTACATCAAATTCTTCCATTCACAGTGAGATCAGCACTATGATTAATTCTACATTGCTATTAAATATGGGCTTTAAACATAAAGCAATGACAAACCGCCCTGGCACTATGCGAATGGCTGTGTTATTGTGCTAACCTTGCATCTCTCTGCTCATCTGTCCTGGCTGTAACTCATAAGGAAGGCCGAGTAGCCATGAAAGATGCTGTGCTGCAAGGGCACCTGGGAGGTTCATCTGCATAAATGTGTTTACCTCCTCCTGGAGAAAGCTGAGCCCTGTCTGATAAACAGCTGGTGTTTATTTGTTTTAGGCAGGCAGTGGTGTGCTAATCTGTCTCGGCTGTGTTGCAGTCAGCCCTGCCGACAAGGTGTATGCAAACTGTCTTCCCACAAGTACCACTCTCTTTTTTTTTCTCCCCCCCCGCCCCCTGTACCATTAACTTATAAAAACAAGCCAACAAGACAATTCAAAAGAAGAACCTATGCAGGAGCCACAGCAAGACCTGACAGGAAAATAACCAGACTTGACAGTATGATGGGAACTCACTCAAGGCTGTGCTGTATCTACAGTAAGGACATGAGCGCACAACACTGAAGTAATTCCAGTTTAATGAAACATCTTGCAGTCCTTGTTTTGGGATTACTATGTTGTTGCATGACACAGAAGGAGAGTTGGGCAGATCCATCACTTTCCTTCTTGTCCATCAAGATTTAAGGCACAGAGAACATGTTTCAAGCTCTTGCCTTCACTGTTGTTCTGAATAACACATGAACTACATCAGAAAACACCTGACCTGCAGCTGGTTGGAAATGCCCCATGACTTCAGTTCAATGATGGTAGCACGTGGGTAAGCTAGAGCATTAACAAGAGGGTAAGTCTGGAACACTGCACTCACCTTTACAAATTGCTTCCAGAGCAGAAATCTTTCCTTTTCTTTAGAAGAGCCAAGGTAGAAGGGTTGCGGCTTTGGGTCTGCGATGGGATCTTACCTAACCTCCTCTGAACCTTTTGCAGGACTGACTTGATCTGTGCTTAAAGTGCACCCAGTCAGAAAAGTGGCTGTCTAAAACCAGCAACTTCTTCCTCCCCGTATTTGCTCCTATGTGTCCCCTACTCATGTCGGCTCCTCTCCTTGACACAAACATATTCTAGTTTGCTAACCTTGTGAACCCAGCACAGCCATGGGATACAGGGGAAGAAGAAGAGGGAACAAGATTAATTCTGTTTTTCTCATACGTCAATCTACCATGTCCTGATGGGTCACTTCTGCACTGGCCCCTGGGATAGAGCCTGGAAAAGCCAGAACTTTTTTGCTTAAATCACTGATTCAATGACTCTTTGCCCATCTTTTACACTCATATTGCAGAATCTCTCTTGCTTGTGACAAGGTCAAGGCAAAAAGACCCTGACTCAACCTCCAAATCCCAAGTAGAGCATATAAAACTGGTAGCAGACTGTGTGCAACGAAAACACCCCTTTTCTGATAACAACCACATTTCAATCACATGAGCAGAAATCGGGAAGTTGCATGGGTACATTTCATGAATCTAATTTTCCAATTACTGTCTCATTTCCAAATCAGTCCTGGGGGTCAGCTGAAGAAGAGATGGGTTCAGTGACACTGCAAATTCTGCATTTCAGATTCCCATCACAGCCAGCATCCTTAAAACCATGGTTTGATAATACTCTTGAAACCTGGATGTACATGATTGTGTTTGGACACAGATGACTACAATGGGAGGTAAATGGACACATCAAACTCCAAACAGAGTAAACCATGAATGGTGCCAGTGCTTAAGTTACAGCAAAATGCAAAACTACTTATTCAGCTGGATCATTTACACCAGGTCTGAAATTAATTCCTCACATCTCCTTCTTTCAAACTCCCAAACAGCAGTCTGTCTGGTTGCCGTATTTCTAGTGGGTTTCCTGTTCTTGGACTCTCAATTCACGAACAACATGTAGCTCACGGGGAAACAGCAAAATTACAGAAATTTTTCCTTTTACT